ACCCTTGTCTCTATAACTCGGGTGGCCGAAGAACACGCTCTCGTCATAGCGGCTGAATCGTCATGCAACTGTCTTGATTGGTGGAGTGTGACGATCGTCGAATTGTCTTGGCGGAAGTCAGTACCCGTCATCATCATACTCACGTTCATCTTCATAGGAGTCATTCCAGCTATGTTGGTCCATTGAATTGAACCATTGTTGGTTTGCTGTTGGGTCACTCTGCAGAACTGGTTTGGGCGATTTTGGTAGAGAATTTTTTATAAAAGGGGTCGAGCCATGATCCATCCACCAATACGGCTTTCGAAGAGGCCCATTTGTGTTCCTCCGCAACTCAACTAAACTCTACCGAGAATTGTGCGGGTTGTAGCTCCGTTCTAGTTCAGAACGCCCCACTTCTCACCGCCCACTGTCGAAGTCGGCTGAGAAGTCCTGGCCCGCCAACCTCCTTTGTCGTGTAGTGTATGAGTCCTTCCTTTGGTGGTTGCTGGAAGTATCGCCAACATGGGGAGTGGTCTGATTTCACAAGAGCCGACTAACCAATGGAAAACCCACACCAAATGGTTGCCCGCCCATCTGGGGACATCGGGGATGGAAGACTTGAGAGTCTCCTTGTCTGCCAAACCCCACCACAATTGGCTTGACTGGCGGGGGTACTTGGCGCCTCTTGCGTCGTGGTGGCCGACGTTGGCCGTCGTTCGAGCACTTCAACCCACAGCTCAAGTGCGCAGTATTTGGAAGGGCCTCAACTGCCTTCATGTTAGCTGGAAGGGTCTCCTGAGAGTTTATTTCCATTGGTCAATTGAATATTGTCGCTCTGACCGACTGACCCGAAAGCTTACCGCGGGGAGATGGCAGTAGCGCCTGCGGGAGATTTGCTTGAGGGTAACAAATACCAACTTCAAACCTTCTGCTGGTGTGCCAAAATAAGGAATAATAATTCCTTCCCCTTTGAGTAGAATAATCGATTCTTGTGTTGCCACCTGTAACAAGGTTTGGAAGCAATAGATAGACTTGATTTGAGTAGAATAATCTCACAATGAGATTCTTGTGTTGCCTACGTACCCAAATAGTCGGGGATTAAACTCCACATAGTTCAGTGAAATTGTGTTGTTTTGGAACAATCACCTTAACACGTTCTAATGAGACAATATAGGGGTGGCGAGAAGCCTGAATCTCAATGATATCCCGGGTGCAGCAGGACCGGGAACTCATCCCTCCCCAACACCGGGGATGCCGGGTGCAGGACAGGAGATGCGGCAGATAGAGGAGACCTTGCAGGGTCGAGGTGTAACAGACAAGAGGCAGGCCACGTCCCACTTGGACGTGCATGCATGCAGTGCCTGATCGGAATCGTCCTGGGGGAGTCTCTGCCTTTGTCCTTTTGTCTTTTTTGTGTTCCCGCTTTGTGTTGTTTTCCATTTTTATTTGCCATGTTTAATATTTTTGCTTGGAATTGTTGGGGTGCTGCTGACCCCGATTTTCTCATCTCTTTCAAAGAGTTTTGTAGGAGTCACCGACCGAACATCATCATCATTACCGAGCCGAAGATTAGTGGTGCCTCGGCGGAGGAGGTCCGACGCAAAATGGGTTTCGATAAGCAAGCCTGTGTTGAGGCTAATGGTTTCTCAGGAGGGATATGGGTTTTGTGGAATGAGGGTGAGGTCTTGATGGAGGAGAGGAGCCGCTCTATCCAGCACTTGCATCTACGTATCCAACTTCATGATGGGCAAATGGGGTACCTGACTGCGGTGTACGGGAGTCCTGTCCAAAGCTCTCGTCGCAATCTTTGGGAAAGCTTGAGGGGTCTGGCGGCAGAGGTTGATGGGCCATGGCTTTTGTGTGGGGACTTCAACGCCCTCTTAGGACCTCACGAGAAGCAGGGAGGGGCGCAGTTCAACATGGCGCCTAGTAGGGAATTTAAGGCCTGCGTGGATGACTGTGGTCTTCTCGATGTCGATTTCAGTGGACCGAGATTCACGTGGCAGCGGGGATCTTTGCGCCAACGCCTGGATCATGCTCTTTGCAACTCTTTATGGTTGCAGAGCTTCCCTGAGACAAACACACTCCATCTTCCGAGGATCAAATCGGATCACAGGGCCATTCTTATATGCTGCGATCGTACTCGGAATCAGGACCGATCTCGTAAGCCATTCCGTTTTCTAGCGCCTTGGCTACTCCATGACGACTTCCCCCGCGTCTTGCAGGAAGGCTGGTCGGCAGGTCCGGAGTACAGGGAGGCAGTGGCAGGGCTTACCTCGATGTTGACCCAATGGAACCGAGAAGTGTTTGGCAATATTCTTGCGAAAAAGAGGAAGTTGGCGAACCAGCTGCAGAGATTAGAGGAGCGGAACGAGCACTCGCCCTCCCCGGCTAGTGTTCAGATGGAGGAGAGTACGCGGGCGGAACTGATGGAAGTGCTTCAGCATGAACAGATTATGTGGTACCAGAAGTCCAGGGCGCAGTGGTTCGTGCATGGAGACAGCAACACTAGGTTCTTTCATTTGGCTACCCTGAAGCGTCGATGTAGGAATCGTATCAGACGTCTCAAGTCAGCGAACAATGAATGGGTCGACGACATCATTCAGCTTCAGGGAATGGTCCGTGAGTTCTATATGGACTTATATCTCGAGGTGGCAGGGGTGGCGCCCACCCTCCAAGACTCGTTCCCCTTGCTGGAAGGGTCCTTCCCTTTAGTTGATAGCGAGCTCCGGGCGGATGAAATTCTAGATGCGCTCAAATCCATGGGTGCCCTGAAGGCACCGGGGAAGGATGGATATCATCCACTTTTCTTCCAAAAATGTTGGACGACGGTGGGCCAAAAGTTGGCTCGTTTCTTGACGGACTGTTTTAGGGATCCGGAGCTTGTGGCGACAGTGAATGAGACCCTGCTGGTGCTTATCCCCAAGAGCTCCCAGCCTGAGAGAGTCTCTGAATTCAGACCCATAAGCCTATGCAACGTCACCTACAAGGTATTTGCCAAATGCCTGGCTAACCGGCTGAAGCCTCTGATGTCACAGCTTGTGGGCCCTAACCAGACGAGCTTTGTTCCGGGGAGACATATACATGATAACATAATTATTCATCAAGAAGTCGTTCACTCAATGCACACGAGGAGAAGTGGCAAGGGACAAATGGTGCTCAAGATAGACCTTGCAAAAGCCTATGACCGCCTCCGGTGGAGTTTTATTGAGGATACTTTGCACTGTGCGGGGATGCCGCCAGCGTTTGTTCGAGCTGTGATGGGATGCATTACCAGTACAACTATGGAGATTCTGTGGGAGGGGTCGGCGACGGAGAGGTTCACTCCGACAAGAGGGATTCGATAGGGGTGCCCCCTATCTCCGTACCTATTCACCCTCTGCATAGAAAGACTCAGCCACCTCATTGAGGAGGCAGTTGAGAATGGGAGGTGGAAGCCGATACAGCTTGTCCGAGGAGGTACCAAAATATCACACAGTTTTTTTGCTGACGAACTTGTTCTTTTTGTAGAGGCCTCGCAAGAGCAGGTGAACGTAGTCCTCCAATGCCTTGACCAATTCTGTGCTGCTTCTGGGGAGCTAGTCAGCAAAGAGAAGTCGCGTGTGTATTTCTCCAGGAATGTCAGGAGAGACGTTAGCCGCAAGCTGAGCACCAGCCTCGGAATTCCGATGACCCAAGACTTGGGTAGGTACCTGGGGGTCCCGGTGTTGCATGGCAGAGTGACGAGGCAAACTTATCAATACCTAATAGACCGGGTGGACCAGAGACTCGCGGGGTGGAAAGCAGATAATCTCTCACTTGCAGGCCGCGTGACCCTTGCGTTGGCAGTGCTAAACGCCATCCCGTCGTACGCGATGCAAACGTCGGTCTTACCAGCCGCCATATGCGACTACATCGACAAGCGCATTCGTGGTTTCATTTGGGGCTCGCAACAGGGACGTCGCCGGGTCCATCTGATTGACTGGGAAACGATTTGTCGACCCAAAGATCAGGGAGGACTAGGGCTGCGGAGTGCTCGAGACTTAAATAATGCTTATCTTGTTAAGCTTGCTTGGAATATCCTTAAGTGCCCAAATGAGCTTTGGGTACGGATCCTAACGGAGAAGTACCTGAAGGAGGGCCCTAATGGTGTTGTTAGTGCTCGCAGGAAGACGGGACACTCGGTTCTGTGGAGGGGAATTCGCCGGGTTTGGAGGCTAATGGATGGGGGAGCTCGATGGAGTGTCCGCAATGGGAAATCCACGCCGTTCTGGGAGGCGGCCTGGCTGGACAGTGGGACGCTTTTGGCGGATCACGTCACCAACGTTGATGACCAATTCCCCGCCAATGCTTGCGTGGCTGACATGGTGACAAGCGAAGGTGAGTGGAGGTTGGCGGCCTTTGAACATTACTTACCCCCTGATGTGATTTTGCAGGTTGTGGGCATGCCTGTGCCGAGGGAGGAGCTCGGCAATGATGAGCTCGTGTGGGGGCTCGAGCAAAGGGGGCATTTATCCCTCAAATCGGCGTACAGGATGGTGGCGGAAATCGATGGCAGCGAAGCTAGCACTACGTGGAGGAAGCTGTGGAAGTGGCCAGGCCCCAACCGAGTCCGCCATTTCCTCTGGCTCGCAGCTCATGGCCGGCTGCTGACCAACACGGAGCGCGCACGTCGCCGCATCGCCGACCGAGCAAACTGTCCACGGTGCCGATCTGAGGAAGAGACCCTCGACCATGTTCTCCGCCGCTGCAGTTTTGCGCAAGAGGTCTGGACTGCGACCTTGCCGTCCTTGATCATACCGAATGACACCCGAAATTTCCACGAGTGGTTCACAGAGTCAGTTAAGTGCCCCCAGAACCAGGTTCGTTTTGGCTTTACTTGCTGGTTCCTTTGGCGTGCTCGGAATGGTTTCATCTTTTCAGACATTGTAGAATCCCCCAACAAGTTAGCGCAAAGGATCCTTGCCTGGGAGGTCGTCGCTCAGCAGAGTAGCACCGCGGAACATAATCTTTCACTGGGGAGGTCGGGGTCGCGTCGAGACATGGCCGTGGGGTGGAGACCGGCCCCGACAGGGTGGATCACAGTGAACTCAGATGGCTCGCTCCTGCGGCCGTCTGAGTCTACCGCGGCAGGAGGAGCGCTTAGAGACTGGCAGGGTCGCTTGTTGGGGGCCTATACGATGAACCTGGGAAGATGTTCCATCACCCGAGCTGAAATTTGGGGGGCACTGAAGGGCCTCGAGCTTTCTTGGGAGGCTGGGCATCGCCAGGTGGAGTTGCAGATTGACTCAAAGACGGCGATAGCTCTGCTCCTAGACACTGGTCAGCACTGTCACCAGCACGCCAATCTCACTATTCGGTTTCAGGACCTGCTTCGCCGAGATTGGACAGTTCGTGTCACACGTATTTATAGAGAGGCCAACTTTTTGGCTGATTGTCTAGCTCACAAGGGGCATCTGTTAGCTCCTGGAACTCATATGATTGATGTATCGGACCCGGATGTTTGTCGGTGGGCCCTTTTTGACTCTGTTGGTGGTTTTACCATTCGATCGATTGCTGAATAAAATGACAGGGTGCTAGGCACCCAATTCTCACCAAAAATATAGAAAAAGGTACTTTATATTTTGAAATTGTGAGGTTAATCATTTGAATTAATTGAGCTTATTAAAAGTGATTTACTCTATAGGGAGATTTGGTACGCGTTGAATAAAATATAAGCGTATTTTTTAGGTGAAAATCCCTACCCTAGCCTAGCCTCACAGTCGGGAACGGATACTATAACAACACCTATAATGTTGTTATAGTAACATCAATCTCATTAAGGGTAAAAAAGTAAGAACACAAAGGGACAGATTAAAACAAAAAAAACAAAACAAAAAAACTCAATCTCTTCTCGTACCAGAAGTCCAAACTCTCTTCCTCGTCGGCGTCTTCTCCTCCCGTACCCTCTCCTCCGTCGTTGCCGGGAGCGCCGCACTCAAATCCGGTGGTAGAGGCGTCGATCCTCCTTGGATCCAAGGCAAATAATGATCACTAAACGTTGGAAGGAGCAAATGGCTCCCTATTCTTGTTTATCGACTCGATCGCTGCCCTCACAGGAATAAGGCTGCTTGAGGGTCTGCCGCCGTTCCGTTGCTCAAGCACGACGACCTGGCCATGATCAGATCCGTAATTAAGGTCGATTCACCCAAAGAGACGCTCTCGTCGGCCGCTTTAGAAGCCTTCCTTTGCCACTGCCACTACTCCGAAGCGTTCCCAATTTCTCAGACATAAGATGTGAACTCCACTGCAAATCCTTCCAGAGTTCTCTCATCTGCAGATTCTAGTGACGATCATCTCTCAATTGAAAAAGTTTGAGTAATTCGATTATAAATTGTTGGTGTCTCGAGCTTCGATGAAAACAAGGATTAATGCATTTACCAGCCAAAGTGTCTACCAGAAGCGAACTCACCTACCCATTCCACTATCTATTCCTTTCTCTGCTAAATCGAATCCCATCCCATCACAGCTAAAGAAGAGAAGAAATTTCTTCCTTTTACAGCGGATCAAGAGCCCAGCTTTTATGAGTCCTTAGCCTTCCAATTCACAGTATAAAGGGGAACTACGGAAGGACAATCAATTAATTAGGTAGAGTTATCTGCATGTTTAGAATGGAATTTCCAGGATATATATGGTGGAGCTCTGGGTTCTTGAGATCAAATTAGTCAATGTGTAGTCAAGTGTTGCACTCAATGCTTAAGAAATATGTGTGGTAAGCTTTGGACATATTTATGGTTTGTTTCAATAAATTTTTGGATATTTGGTTTGAAATAGTAGCTTTTTGGTGTGGTTTATAAATATTTGGAGTTTGCTTTGTGTTGTTTTTGGTCTACTTCAAAAGATTTATGGTTTAGAAAGTTTTTGGTGTGCTTTATAAATATTTGTGGTTTTTTTTGTCTACTTCAAAAGATTTGTGGGTTATATTGGAAGGGTTTTGGTTTGTTTTGGAAATATTTGTGGTTTGTTTTGCGGTGTTTCTGGTATGCTTAATGAGATTTGTGGTTTGTATTAGGAGGTTTTTAGTTTGCTTTAAAAAAATTTGTGGTTTGTTTTGCGGTGTTTCTAGTTTGCTTAATGAGATTAATGGATTGCATTAGGAGGCTTTTAGTTTGCTTTAAGAATATTTGTTGTATGCTTGGTGGTGTTTGTGGAGATTTGTTGTCTGCATTAAGAGGTTTTTGGTGTCTCATAAAGCACACCATAAATACGAGAAAACAAATCACACTACAAAATCATACAAAGCATACCATAAACATGAGAAACTAAACCACAATTCTCATAAAGTATACCACACCATAAATACAATAAAACAAACCACAAATATCATAATGCATACAAAAAAAGAAAAAAACAAACCACAAAAGTAGATAAAAAACACTAGAAAACATACCATAAATGTCTTAAAACAAAAAATCACAAATCTTACAATACATACCACAAATTTCCGGTAACTAGTAACCGATGATTGAACTCCCGCAATTGAAAACCATTATATCATAAGCACAACATTTTCAAGTGCGTCATGACATTACCATTTGATATCAACAAGTTATTTTAACAAAACAAAAACTTCATCTTCCGGTTGGCTAGAAAATAAGCTATAAATTTATACAGATCTTGGTTTACCAATCCATGGTGGTTTAGGTTAGATTTATTTTCCACAAACGGAACTGGATTTATTGTTGCCCAATTTTATTTACTCTGCCCCTTTATAATTGAAATTCATCTTTATGTTACGACTTATGTAGAGGCTAGAGGGGTAGAGCTGCCTGCAAGCATAAACCCTCACTTTTTTTATTATGGAAATCGCTTGCTTTTCAATTAGGCCAATAATTAGTATTTATAAAAAAAAATAAATGAAACTTGGTGCTGCCCGAAGGAACACGCTGCATACGGATTGTTTTTAGTGACTATTATGCCCTTTCAGTGATTTTATATTAAGGTCAACCTATTTAATAAAAAGTCATCATAATTCTACTTTTCTATTGGTTGGAGACTAGTGTTGTTACCCTGACAACAAAATAGGTGTTGTTATACTAACTAGTCCCCTCACAGTCCACTCTCTCCCTTTCTTTCAGTTTTTTCCCTCCCTTTCGTCCGAAAAAAGGAAAGCACGGCTCGTCTCCTCTCCTTCTTCCTTTCTGATTACCTCTTTCTCTTGCTCTCTGTTTCTCGATTCTTCTTCCACCTCTCTTTGATCTCCTAAAAGAAGAACAATTCCCATTTTTCTCTTTCTATTTCTCTATTCTTTCTTGTGACGAAGAGGAGAAAGATGGAGAAAGGCCGGCAGCAGTGACGAGAACGTTAGCTAATGTCGCAGGCGATGATGTTGACATCGGCGACATTATGGCACAACTTGAAGTTGTACCTGTAACGTTATGGTACAATTTTAGGTTGTACTTATATTTGTTTGTAAATGTCAACTTTAGGTTGTACAACTTGAAGTTTTACCATAACATAAAGGTCAAATTCCCTTGTGCTGCAACTTCAATTTGTACCTTTAACGTTATGGTACAACTTTAAGTTGTACTTTAAAGCACCAATACTTAAAAGTATAATAGAAGTGCTCGTCTGGAAGAATCTTTGTCCCCTATTTGCATTGCTAAGGCTTCTTTTTATGGGGAAAAGACGCCTTGGTCCCCAAGTATGCTACAGTTTTGGTTCTAATCTGACCGGGTTTGGGTCATTGGTTGGATCGAGTCAACGGGTCAATTCGGTCAACTTTTACTATAGTTTACTTTCGTTGACCGGGCTTTGGGTGTTGGCAGTTGGGCTTTGACTTTTGTTGAGTGGGCTTTGAATTTTGACATTTTGTTGACTTGGTCTTTGACCTAGGCCCTCTTTATTTCTTTCATAATTTGTAACAAGTGATTAATTGTAATCCGTTTGTAATTATTATTTGATGACAATCTATTTCCTTTATTGTTCTCGTCATTTCAAAATTGAGTTCAATGTAAATATGGAGATCAACTCTATTGAATTGATCACCCGTACTAAACTTGAATAAAATATGACAGCTAGATTTAGCTATTGATAGACATATACTCATACAATTTCTTTAAAGTCAGAATGTAGTGATTGTAGTCTCTCCAATCCAATCTCATTTAATCAAAGCAAGCCACCAAGATTCACGTTTAAAGGATTTTGCGCTTAAGTATATTTGGTTAAAATGATGTTTAAGATTTGCTATTGCTAGTCCAAAACAATTCGAGCTCTCAACTCTTTTTATTTGGTGGCAATAATTAGTAATTTGCTCGAACAAAATGTGGTGTCTACAAATTCAATATACGAAACCCACCGTGCATTATAGTGACGAATCACAAAAAGAGAGGTGACTGACAATGTAGAGTCAAACCGTAAACTGCCTCTTACTAAACTGAATGAATGTATCAAAAGGGCCAACGTGAGGATCAACATGGTCATGTTAACATACCCCGTCAACAACAACACACTCTACAACACACCCATGTTCAAGACCACATCAACAAAAGTAAAAAGATATCAAAAGGGATAACGTGGGCGGCAACATGTCCATGTCAGAGACCATGTCAACACCAACACCCTGTAACACAGTCATGTTGACGACCATGTCTAGATAAGTTAAGGAGTTGTCAAAGGTTCAATGTGGGTAGCAATATGGCCATGTCAGAGACCACATCAACACCAATACATCGTTCAACACGGCCATGTTAAAGACCACGTCAAGAGAATTCAAGGGGTTGTCAAAGGGTCAACATAGCAACATGGCAAAGTCATAAACTACGTCAAACACCAACAAACCCTCAAACACGGCCATGTTGAAGACAATATCAAGAGCAGTCAAGGAGCTTGAAACGTCCCAATACTTTTAACCAAACTGAAATAACCATGGCTACGGAGCCAATTAAAAACAATACTCAAGATTTCATTTAAAACGAATACAGCGGAATCCTTTTCAAATGAAATGCCCTAAACACGTGGGCGACCTCAAATACATATATAGTCGACAAAACTACTCAAACTCAAAATCTCGAATCTCCAGTTCATATACTTGTAATCATGAAACATCAAAAACTACACAAGTCTAACTGTAACTCCTTACTTAGCTCTTTGACATCTCGTTAATGCTGGTGCGGCTGCTCGCATCGCCTTGCCTCTTCTCAAAATCTGCCTCTGCTAACCCTTCCTCGACCTGGTGAGTGAGAAGAGGTCAGTCTCGTCGTTACTTCCTAAGGTCTTGCCCTAAGAAACTTTCTACTAACACGTTATTAGAGTTTCTTTCCTGGCACGAAAGTCGTTCTCGCTTTCTGCTCTTAAATAATCATCCTTTCAACTAGATTATAGAAGTTCTCTACTTCTATCATGAACTCATAGAAGTTCGCTACTTCTATCCTTAACTTAGATACCAAATACTAGGGACCACTGCGTTATGTATCGTCGTCCGGTCTCCCTACCCTAGTATGTCAACATCGTTACGTCTCGTCGTCCGGTTGCATACCCAAACTCGGCAATGGAACTGCGTTACATCTCGTCGTCCAGTCCATGC